GAGTGGCGGTGTCCCCCCGTGTCCCCCGTGGCGCGTGGCGTTGTCACCTCCCCCCGCCTCGGTTGTCACCGCGCGGGGGTGCTGAGTAACGGCAGGGGCGGGCCGCGCCCTCGGCGGGAGTGTGGCAACAGCACCGGCAGCTCCTTCCTGCCTCCCTTCCTTCCTCTCTCCCGCTCGCTGCGCCCCGAGCCGGGGGTCCCGCAGGAACCGGGGTCCCGCAAGAACCGGGGTCCCACCGGAGCCGAGGGTCCCGCAGGAACCGGGGTCCCGCAGGAACCGAGGTCCCGTAGGAACGGGGCGTCCGCGGGAGCCGGGGGTCCCACCGGAGCCGAGGGTCCCACCAGAGCCGAGGGTCCCACCGGAGCCGAGGGTCCCGGAGGAACCGGGGGTCCCGTAGGAACGGGGAGTCCCGTAGGAACGGGGGTGTCACAGGAACCGGGGGTCCCACCGGAACCGGGGCTCACACCGGAGCCGCGGTCTAACAGGAGTCGGGGGTCCCACCGAAGCCGGGGTCGCAGCGGAGCTGAGGTCACAGCAGAACCGGGGGTCGCATCGGAACCGGCTGTCACCGGAACCGGCGGTCCCAGCGGAACCGAGGGTCTCGCCGCAGCCGGGCTCGCAGCACAACCGGGGGTCTCACCGGAGCCGGGGGTCCCATGGGTGAGCGCTGCCCGGGGACCCCGCGCACGGCCCGGCCGGGCCGGACGGGCCGCGGAGCGCCTGGCACGGCCGGTGCCACCGGGAGGGGTCCCCACGGCTCGGGGGGCGCGGGCAGGGGGCGCGGGGGTCTCGGGGTGGCCGCCCTCAGCCTCGCCCTCCTCTTCCTCCGCGCAGAGGCCGAAGGCTTCGCCCCCTGCCAGGCGCCCGCGCTGCAGACCAAAGTGTTCCAGTACCGGTAAGGGTGGCGGGGGACAGCGGGGGTGGCAGCGGACAGGGGTGGCACCCAGGGTGGCACCAGGGTGGCACCGCTGTCCCCGCTGTGCCCGCCAGGCTCTGGGACGTGAACCAGCGCTCGCTGTACCTGCGCGGTGACCAGCTGGTGGCCGGGCACCTGCAGGGCGCCAACGCCGCGCTGGAAGGTGACACGGGGACACGCGTGGGGACACGCGAGGGGACACGCGTGGGGACACGCGCTGAGGGTCCCCGTGTCGCCTGCAGAGAAAGTGTTCTGGGTGCCCAACCGTGCCCTGGAGCCCGCCCGGCTGCCGGTGATCCTGGGCATCCGCAACGGCTCCCGCTGCCTGAGCACCGAGCGCGGCCCCGGCGGGGAACCGCGGCTGCGGCTGCAGGTGCGACACGGGG